AGTACTTTCAAATGTTGTCACGGAAACTTAAAATTCTTTGAAAAGGATTTATATTATCTTCTCATTCTAGTAAGAAACATGTTACATTGCTTTGCATCTTAAAATAGGTATAAAATTAGCACTTAAACTGTTACTACCTCAAACAGGACTCTTTTCTTTCATGAACTTAATAAAAATTATGATAAAATACAGAAAACATAACATTACTATCTTAATCATTTGTAAGTGTACAGTTTAGTGACATTAAGTACATTCAAACTGTTGTGCAAGAATCACCACCATCCATCTCCAGAACTCTCTTCATCTCGCAAAACTAAACCTCTTTACCCATTAGACAATATCCCCATTCCATTCTCCCTACCACCCTGGCAACTATTATTCTACTTTCTGTCTATATAAATTTGACTACTCCAAGGTGAAATCATCCAGTATTTGTACTTTTGTGACTGGCTTATTTCACTTTGCATAATGTCCTCAAGGTTCATCCATGTTATAGCATGTGTCGGAATTCTTTTTCCTATTTCTCATTGTGGTAAAACACACATAACATATACTTGACTGTCTTAACCACTTTTAAGTGTATAGTACAGCACTATTAACTATATGCATATTGTGGTGCTACAGATTTTTAGAGCTTTTTCATCTTATAAATCTGAAATTCTAGTTACTGAACCACAACTTCCTTTTTCTGCCTCCTCCAGTTCCTGGCAACCACACATCTACTTTTTGTTTTACGTAAGTGGAATTATGCAGTCTTTTTCTTTTATGACTGCCTTATTTGACTTAGCATAGTGCCCTCAATTTTCATGCAAGTTGTACCATATGACATTGTTTCCTCCTTTTCTTAAGGCTAAAATAATATTCCACTGTATGTATATACCACATTTTCTTTGTTTTTGCTTGTGTTTGAGGTTTTGTTGAGACAAGGTCTCACTCTATCACCTAGGCTACAGTGCAGTGGCATGATCTCGTCTCACTGCAGCCTCCTAGGCTCAAGCGATCCTCCCACCTCAGTATCCTGAGTAGCTGAGACTACAAGTGCATGCCACCATGTTTGGCTAATTTTATTTTTTGTAGAGATGAGATATCACTATATTGCCCAGGTTGATCTTGAACTCCTGAACTCAAGTAATTTTCTTGCCTCAGTTTCCCAAAGTTCTGGGACTATAGGTGTGAGCTACCATGACTGGCAGTACACCATATTTTCTTTATCCATTTATTGGTCCACGGACATTAGGTTGCTTCCACCTCTTGGCTATTGTGAATAATGCTACAATGAACATGGTTGTGCAAATAACGCTTCAAGATCCTATGTTCAATTCTTTTAGATATATTCTCAGAAGTGGGACTGCTATATCATATGCTGATTTAATTTTTAGAGGAACTTCCATACTATTTTCCATAGCAGCTGTACTGTTTTACATTCCCATCAATGGTATTCAAAGGTTCCAATTCTCTACATCCTCACCAACACTTGTGTGATTTTTCTGTGTGCTTTTTTATAGTAGATCTTCAAATAGTCTAGATATTAACTCCTTACCAGATATCTGATTTGCAAATATCTTCTATGGGTTGACTTTTCACTCTGTTGATGTTTGTCCTTTGATGCATACAGTTTTTAATTCTGATGTAATCCAATTTATTTTTTTTCTTTTGTTGCCTGTGCTTTTGATGCAATTTGGTGCCATCCAAGAAATTACTGCCAAATGCAATGCCATGCAGCTTTCCCCTACATTTTCTTCTATGAGTTTTTGCAGTTTTAGCTCTAAGGCTCTTTCATGGACTCTTAACTATCCCCTTTTACTGATTTGAAAATTTCCCACTTAAGTTTGAATTATATATTAAAGATATTCCCCTCTGAAATTAATGATTGAGGTCTACATATTTGAGGTCAAAAGGCCTGTGTAGTTTCTAAAAGAAATACGCTGTAACAACATGCAGACATAGATTCTAATAAAAATTATTTGCTACTCTTGAATTATTTGCTACAACTTGCACCTCAAATGATAGAAAGGATAATTGAATGGTCAGGTGTGTGGCTCATACCTGTAATCCCAGCACTTTGAGAGGCTGAGGAGGATCACTTAAGGCTAGGAATTTGAGACCAGCCTGGACAACACAACACCACCTCACTGCCACATGAAGTAAGAAAATTATCTGGGCATGGTGACACATGCCTGTAGTCCCAGCTGCACAGAACGCTGAGGCAGGAGAACCACATGAGCCCAGAAGTACAAGGCTGCAATGAACCCACGATTGTGCCACTGTACTACAGCCTAGACAACTGGACTTCAGCCTGTCTCTGCACTTCAGAAAAAAACCAGATAACTTAAAAAGACAAAAGAAGGAAAAATAATCAAAAAACAGAGAAGTAATTCTCTCAGTGATGAGGGTAACATTGGAATTAAATCTTACCAGATGTAGTTTGTAGTCAGCAATTCAAACAACAGCATAGGTTCTTTTGAGATATTTAGAAATTTCAACTTAGGGTTGCTACTTAAATAAGGCATTGAGGCCCCTATACCAAAGGCTCTCTCTCTGATATAATTTTGCAACTTTTCTATTTACCTGTTAAAATTTTGTCGTCTCCATCCTCCATTGTTGCACTTCTTGATGCTGTCATTTGTTATGGCTACCTTATTATTACTCATAGAGCTGGCACAAAAGCCTAAAGGTACCTGTGTAGCTAGGCACCAACTTAAGAAGTCTGTTTTCTGAAATAATGTTTATTCATGATGACATCTTGAATACCTTCTTTGTGCAAGACACAGTGAGAAATACAAAGCTGTAAAACCCACCAGTAAGTGTCATCTTAACTAGACCTGAACAGGCCACAGTCAGTATCATATTCACTTAGAAGGATACCAGCCTGGAAACAAAGCATACCAGCAGGGGAGCATGGGGCATTTCTCCTCCAGGGAACATCTCAGCAGGCCACACAGCCAACAAAGACCTAGCTCTCTTTTAGCCCTCCAGATGACAGCTCAGGTTCAAGGTAGCAAGACTCACATCCCGTGGGTTTGAGAAGATATGTTGGAAGATAGTTCATGACTAGATCATAGCTTTGAATGACAATATAAGACATATAGGCTTTTATTTTTTACTATGGATGATTTCTGAGCAAGGGGTTAGCATTGATTGAAGCTCTAGGACTATTAATGTGGCAGCAGTACAAAAGAGAGCTAAAAGTAGAGAGAGACTGGAGGCAGAAAGACTATTACATTCGGTTGGTGAAATAACAATATTAATAATTATAATGATAATAGCAGTAACCAGTAATTTTTCTTAGCAACTTAATATTTGCCAGATACTGTTCTAAGCATTGTTCATGTATCAAGTTCTCATAACAATCCTATAAAGTATATTAGGTACAAATATTTTCCGTTTCATAGATGGGAAAACTGAGGCAAGGAGAAGTCAAATAATTTGCCCAGGGTCTCACAGTCAGTAAGTGATAGGAGCAGCATTTGAACCCAAACAACTGGACTCCAGAGCATATACTTTTAACCACTCAACCACACCACATGTCAGAGTATACTATGTGTATTCACACTGTCTAAAACTCTGGAAAACCCAGAAGGGTTCACTCCTCCCTAAAAAACCTTATAATGATGAGGCTGACAGTTGTGAGGCTCAGCAACAACACATGTGGGGATACCATATGGGAATAAAAAATGAGATTGTAAAGAGTGATTAGCACTTCTTTATTCAGTGCCTACCAAGCATCCAGTATTCTTCACACATCATCTCATTTAGTCTTCACAACAACCTATGAGGGAGTATTATTTTTAATCCACATTTTTTCAGAAGAGGAAGCCTAGGCTCAGAGAACTTTTGCCTTTTGCCCTCATTACAGAGCCAGTCAGTGACAAAGTCAGCACTGGAAACCAGACCCAAATCAATCCATGTTATCCTATGCTGAGGACATGGAATGATGGAACAGGGATACTGCCAGCCTGGAAGACTGCAGTCCCCCTGCCTTCAGAAGGCAAGGATCCCCAACTGAAAGACTCTGGGGCCATGCTACCATGTGCAGAGCTATGGTTCCAGCCTGTCTGTCTACCCAGCTAGAAGTTGTACCCACTGGATACGTGGGTCAGTCCTTGTTCCAAAGAATCAGCACTAGCCTGTGGATCTGGGTAGGACCAACGCAGCTCTGAGGATTCCTACACACTAAATACAAGCATAAAACCATAAGGAAATTTAAAAACATGGGCCTCTACAAAGGATGGTTAAAAAAAAAAAAAAACTATTCTCTGAAGAGAAGTGAAGCAAATCATGCGGACCTGAAGATGGTACCTAGAGATTAAAAAGCCTAAGAGAACAGAGCTAAATTTTAGGAAACTATGGTATTTTTCTCAGCTAATTCCCATATGTTTAGCCTCAAAGTTTCTCACAATTATCCTTAGAAAAAGATCTATGACATAACATTAAATTTAAAGAGCAGAACACAAAATTATATACACACCAACTCATTGAAAAAGTACTGATGGTAGAATTTTAATTTCTATTTATTTTTTCTGAACTTTTCAAATTTCCTATAATATATATAGTTACATTGCTAGCCAGGGTAAATATATATATAATTTCAATATATAAAATTTGTTTTGATATACATATATATGTATATATAGATATACGCAAATTAAAATACTTTCAACCAATACTTGGGAAGGGAGAACAAAAAACAAATTTTACACAGAGCAGTTTAGTAATGTCCAAATACTCAATAGACTACATCAAATACACCTGAGATATTTATTTAAAAAATACAAATTTCCAGAGTGCAAAGACCCACTCAGTCAGAATTTCATGGGGTGGGCCCAGGAATCTGGAGTTTAACAGCTCCCTGGGTGACTCTAACATCTTTTAGCAAGGAAGTCCAAAATTACTTCGATTCTCTAAGGTTGCTTGATAATTTATTTAACACTAGGGCAAATTTATATTTAACAAAGAGAACAAAGTGACAGGACATAGATTTGGATGGCCTAATATCTCACCATTCATCTCTGCAAACTTCTGAACATCACTCAGAGTTTTCAGTTCTTGCCTGGGACATGCCGCTACACACAGTGCAACAGACTTAATCTTCCGGTTTATCAAGTCCAGGTTGCAAGGATCCAAAAAGAATACATACCTAAAGCATGGAGAAAAAAAAACTGAGATATTATTTCACAAAACACATTGTGGGTCACTGCATATTTCACTAAGCCTAGAGCAAAGAACATCTATTCCACATTCCTCCACAATAAAAATCTCATCACGAATACATTTTTAAAAAATTGCTTATAAACAGACTGTTAACAGTGGGAATAGGGGAATCATAGGATTATAATTTTCATGATCTATTTTTCTAACATTTAAGTGTTTGTAATGTGCACATGAAGATTTTATAATCAGATCATCTATTTTAATTTTCTTCAAATCATTAATTTTTTCTTGTTTTGTCAAATTTGCACCAAAAAACTTATTGGAATATCATAATACTGCTATCTAGTACAGCATGAATTACAGTTCAGATATAAACTGTAAACTTTAGTTAATAAATGTAATTCATTTATTATATATAATTCATACAAACAAAATTATATAATTCCAAAAATGAATATATATTATATATAGCAATTAATATATATAACTGAATATATAAAGTTAAATGGAGACTAGAGGGAAATACACCAACATTTCAACTACAGTCATCTCTAGGTGTTAAAATAAAGGGATTTTTAATTTACTTTATTTTACCTTTTGGAATCCACATCTTCTAGAAAGAATGCAAATTACTTTTGAACTGCTATAACTCCAGTAAATACTGTTTATTAATGGTTTAAATATTGTCCATTACAGATAGACAAAATAATCCCCAAGTCTGAAATTATACCCTTTAAGTCCTGTATATTTATATTTTAGGAAAGGGAAAATTAGAAAGCACACTAAAGCAAGTATTTTTAATGTTATAAAGTAGATGAGATGATAAAGATTATAGATGTTAACATCTGCTCAAAGAGAAAGTAAGGGCTAAACATTCTCAACTGAGATAAGCTAAGTGCAATATTACAGATCAAGGAAGGGAATACAAGAAGGAATGCTTCCACCTAAAATAAGAGTTAAAAATCTCCAGCCAGGGTTCAATTCCACTGAGCCCATAAGAAGTTTTATAAAATCATGCATCTGTCAATAGCCTTTCACACAGTTAAACTCTGTGTGAATTTCAAATCTGGAACGGGAAATATAACCAAATATAAAAATCAGGGGAATAAACTGAAAAGCAGAAAAGGTAAAGTCAATATATATGCTGAAATGGAAAATATAAAGGGATACAAGGAAAAAAACAGTAAGTAGGAAAAAAAGGTGGAGGATGGGGGGACTACTACAGAGGCCTTTGCAGATCAAGTAACACTGAACATTTCAGCGCAGCAAGGGGGCTGGGAACCTGGCATGAAGGTCAGGTATAACTTACCAAACTAAAAAACAAAAAAATTTTATATATGATCCTATCAGTGACTCCAAACCCATTAATGTTCTGTCTATACAAACAGAAGGAAAGAAAAAAAGCCAGGCAGAAAGATGCGGTTTAGAAGTAGGTTTTGTGGACTGCTTCCATGGCTGATACAGAGAATTATTTCTGACAACTTTTGAGTGAAAACAAGCATGCCCTTAGTAATTCTCCCTTCAACTATCCTGGGCATCTGACTAAGCATGTCTATGCCGGAGATCCTGTATAATGAATTGCATGAAGATCTTGGACAGGGAAAAATCAGGACCTTGAGAACCTTGAGAAATGTGTCATAAAACCTTTGAATCAACCACTACAGCTACTACCATCACCACCACTATCACTGCTACCATTGCCATCATTCACCACCATTAATACTAAGAATACTTTTTTTTTCTTTGAGATGGAGTTCTGCTCTGTTGCACAGGCTGGAGTACAATGGTGTGGTCTCAGCTCACTGCAACCTCTGCCTCCTGGGTTCAAGCGATTCTCCTGCCTCAGCCACCCAAGTAGCTGGGAATATAGGTGTGTGCCACCACACCGGCTAACTTTTTGTATTTTTAGTAGAGATGGGGTTTCATCATGTTGACCAGGCTGGTCTTGAACTCCTGACCTCAAGCAATCCACCCGCCTCGGCCTCCCAAAGTGCTGGGATTACAGGCATAAGCCACTGCACCTGGCCTAATAATACTTAATGGTAAAGACTTTTTAAAATGATAGCCAATTTTATTGAGGACTTACTATTTCTCAGACACTGTATTAATCCTTTACATGTATTAACTCATTTAATTCTCATAGTAATTCTGTTGTGTTTCTCTATGGGGTGGGAGGTGGGCATTGGAACTGGGATGGGAAAGAAGCATTGAGGAAACTGTTCTAAGTGATGAGCAATGCCTTGAGAACCATCTGGGGAAATCACACCAGAGCAGAAAAAGAAGCTTAGGGAAAAGGAAAAAAAAAAGCCGGAAGCTGCCAGGGCCTTGCTGCTGGGCCTAGACTGGATCAATGACAACCTCTTGGGAATAGACACACTGTCTGTCCTGCAGGCTTCTGCCTTCTCCAAGGGCAAACGTATCCCTATTATATTTCTAACTTTTTTTATACCTAAAAACATTTTCCTTTGATCTATACAGTGAATGGGCAGCAACCTTATCCTTTCCTTTAGTCAGACCAATGTGAACTTGCTTTCTGGTTCTAATAGTTCTCTGACCTTGGAAAATACATTTATTCTTCTGAGCCTCAGTTTCCTTATCTGAAAAACCACATACCTACTTTATAGTTTGTTGTAATGTGACCAATACTATACTTAAAGTACCTAACATAGTAGGCACTCAGTGATTCAAGTCGTTATCATTAAGAATACTATTTGCTTTTCACACATTTTATATTTCATAGTAAGGAACTAAATGCAATACTTTCTTATATGGGCATAAAACAGAGATACAATACTAACATACAGTTTTCATTTAGAAAAAAAAAAGTCTGTGTAGGAGTATTCATGACTAAGGGTAAGGTCATTACCCTTGAGAACTTAGACCCCCACAACAGGTCCAGGACAAGGAAAACAAGAACAGGAGGGTGAGAAGAATGCTACCATGACTACATCACTGTGAAATTTATGCTGCACATTTGTTTAGCCTGTGTATATGGCTTGAAAAGATCTAAAAACTTATTTGAAATGGTATCTTCAAGAAATACACACTCACATACATCACATGTTTACACTCCATATCTTACCTGCTTTCCATAGTCTAAGAATATATTAAGGTGGCCAGGTGTGGTGGCTCATGCCTGTAAACCCAGCACTTTGGGAGACTGAGGTGGGCAGATCACTTGAGGTCAGGAGTTTGAGACAAGTCTGACCAACACGATGAAACCCCATCTCTACTAAAAACACAAAAAAAGTAGCTGGGTGTGTTGGCAGGCATCTATATTTTCCAGCTACGTGGGAGGCTGAGGCAGGAGAATCACTTGAACCCGGGAGGCAGAGGTTGCAGTGAGCCAAGATCATGCCACTGCACTCCAGCCTGGGTGACAGAGCAAGACTCTGTCTCAAAAAAGAAAGAAAGATCCAAGAGAAAGATCCAAAAGAAAACAGATCCAAGATGGCTGATCACTAACAGCTCAGGATTGTAGCTCCCAGTGAAAGCTCAGAGAACGAGAGGACACCATACTTTCAGACGAATGTTCGTCGCTCACGGACCAGCAGATTTCTAGTGGAGGAGCCCCACAGGTCGCCAGCGCGACTCTTGTGGCTGGCACAGCACTTTTGCTGGCGCCTTGGCGTGGCAGCTCTTCATGCAGAGTGGACGGGACTGGTTCCCTTACTGACCGGTGTTTGGAGCTCCTGGAAGGCAGAGCCGCTTGTTGCGAACTCAAGAAGGAAGCCAGACCAGAGATTCCCGGGCAGAAGAGCACCATCAGTCTTATCGCTGCTATTGTGGCCGGCGCTGTGGGTTGCTTGAATCCCAGCATTGGGAATCAATAAATTGGATGTCGACTCAGAAACCTAATTAGAAAGGCGGTAATTGTAAAGATGACAGATGGATAAATTTATAATAAAGGGAAAAAACCAGCCTAAGAAGGCTGAGCATACCCAAAATCAGAACCCCTCTCCCTCTACAGGGGATTGCAGTTCCTCATCAGCAACAGAACAAGCCCTGATGGAAAAGGACTGTGTTCCATTATCTGAAATAGGCTTCAGAAGGTGGATGATAAGAAACTTCTGGGAATTAAAAGAACTTGTTCTAACCCAATGTAAAGAAACTAAGAACTTTGAAAAAAGGTTTGACAAAATGCTGAAAAAAATAGACAATATAGAGAGGAATATAAATGAACTAAAGGAGTTGAAAAATACAACACGAGAACTTAGTGAAATATGCACAAGTTTAAACAGCAGAATAGATCAAGCAGAAGAAAGGATAGTAGAAGTCGAAGACCAACTTAATGAAATAAAACGACAAGACAAGAATAGAGAAAAAAGGATGAAAAGGAATGAGCAAAGTCTCCAAGAAATAGGGGACTATGTGAAAAGATCCAATCTACGTTTGATTGGTGTACCTGAATGTGATGGAGAGAATGAATCCAAGCTGGAAAATACTTTTCAGGATATTATCCAGGAAAATATTCCCAATCTAGCAAAGCAGGACAATATTCAACCCCAGGTAATACAGAGAACACCACAAAGATATTCCTCAAGAAGAGCAACCCCAAGGCACATAATCGTTAGATTCACCAGGATCAAAATGAAGGAGAAAATACTAAGGGCAGCCAGAGAGAAAGGACAGGTTACCCATAAAGGGAAGCCTATTAGGCTTACAGCAGATCTCTCAGTGGAAACCCTACAAGCCAGAAGAGAGTGGGGGCCAATATTCAACATACTTAAAGAACAGAACTTTCAGCCTAGAATCTCATATCCTGCCAAACTAAGCTTCACAATTGAAGGAAAAATAAAATCTTTTATGAACAAGCAAGTACTCAGAGATTTTATTACCACCAGGCCTGCTTTACAAGAACTTCTGAAAGAAGCATTATACATAGAAAGGAACAACCAGTATGAGCCTTTCTAAAAATATACCAAAAAGTAAAGAGCATCAACATAAAGAAGAATTTACATCAACGAATGGATAAAATAGTCAGTT